AAATCAAAGTTTTATTGGAGTCCCCCAAAGATTGTCCAAGGAGATCCATTTCACAACCTAACATAAAACTTATTATAATATTCTTTCCCCACCATTTCTCTTTTCATCTCTCCCATACCTTGACTGCCAAAATGCTCCCCCGACCCGGCCTTTTCTCTCCAGATTCCCCCAAATCTATTCTCTCTCCATCTTTCTCATGCATCTCTTTTCCCACTCTCTGCTTTTCTAGGTGTAATTTCTCCCCTCTCCTGACCTGCTACATTGTTTCTCTTCTTTCAAAGTACAATCTTGTCAGTCTGTCTCAGACTTCTTCCAATCCATCAGCTATTTTTATCTATTATCCTGATCAGCATAACAAAAATAACCAAGTGGTAGGGTACAAGTTTGTTAAATACAGGAATTATAAAGAAAGATTGTGAGCAGGGGTTTAAAATACTCATACATTATAAATTCTTATATAGGCGTGACTTCTAAACCCACAGAAAAGATGGTGTGTATGTGTAAAAACAAGTTTAATGTTTTATAGTTAGTCAATATAGCTTCGTTTTTCATTATTGAGTTGGTTTGTCTTTCTAAGAAGGAATAAACCTGTACAATGAATGAATTATTTTGCAGTCTAAAGAAGGTGCATTTATTGTCAGAGATTCGAGACATTTGGGGTCCTACACAATTTCTGTGTTTGTAAGAGCTAGAAGGTAAGCAACTGTGATTTTTGTTACCTTAGAAATAGCAGTTACTGGGACAGTCTTTTTTATGGAGATACTACTACATAGGATCCCTGCTGATGCAGTGGTTAAATGTTTGGCTGCTAACCAAAAGGTCAGCAGTTCAAATCCACCAGCTGCACCTTGGAAACCCTATGGGGCAGTTCTACTCTGTCCTGTAGGGTTGCTATGAGTCAGAATTGACTTGACAGCAACGGGTTTACCATGACATAGAGTACATAAGTGAGAGCCTAGCACAGGGATAAAATTGTTGGCCTGGGACTCAGGACAACTAACTAGTTCAAGTTCCTTCCCTAATAAGCTCTATGACATTGGATACATTTCTTAAGCTCTTTTTTCCTCCCTTTTCTCATCCATCAAGTGAGGGGATTAGATTATTTGTAGCAGATGCCATTGGTGCCTTCCCATATCCTTGGTGTACCCTGAGTTTTACCTCCAGAGAGTTTTCCTACGCTCAGAAAGTTTCCTATGTTTTTCTGCTTAAGGATGTTTTCCGGGTATGGGAGCTCATCGGCCCCATGGCTAGGCAGGAATTGCTTGAGAGTTAACATCCCAGGAGCGATGCTTATCACTGAGGAATGGAAGTTGGTGGATAAACACATCACCTTCTTCTTGCTTCAGTGGGACAATTTCTGAGATGTGTTCCACACAGTCCCTCAAATGTTCCTAGAAGGATTGAGGCCCAGTTGTCTATAGGGTGCTTATTGATGCTAATTGCTGTCAAGTCAGTTCTGATTCATGGCAACCTTAAGCGTAACAGAATGAAATGTGCCTGGTCGTGCACATCTTCATGATCGTTGGTATGTGTGAGTCCATTGTTGTGGCCACTGCATATTTTGAATGCCTTCCAATTTGGGGATTCATCTTCTAGCACTATATTCTGTTGTGATCCATAGGATTTTCATTGGCTGATTTTCAGAGGTAGATCAACAGGCCTTTCTTCCTAGCCTTAGTCTGGAAGCTCTGCTAAAACGTATCCACCACAGATGACCCTGCTGGTATTTGAAATACTGGTGTCATAGCTTCCTGCATCATAGCAACACACAAGCCATCACAGTATGACAAAATTCCACAAAGGTGGTGGTTATTAATGTACCCTATATTGGTTTTCCTCCTTTCCTCATTTCATGTCTCCAGTTCCTCACAGTGCATTTGTTCATTCATTTAACCTATACTTGATATTCTATAAATACTTATAAGTATCCATTATGAGCTCTAATTTTTTGGACACTGGACTTGTCATCTAGACAACTTTGTCTGAGGTTATGTTTGAATCTGAGGCCCCAATAAGATAGTTGGGGAATTTTCATGGGATGATGAGACACCTGTTTCATTCAATCAATTTTTCTCTCCAGTGTGTAGTTTTGCTAGGATAAGAATTTTAGGGGCAGAATTTTGTTGCTTAACGAGTTGGCTTAGTTCCACAGTGATCTTTTGCTTGTCTGCTAATTCACATTGTATTGATTGTAGAAGTACTGAGGCTACCATCAAACATTATCAGATTAAAAAGAATGACTCAGGACAGTGCTACGTGGCTGAAAGACATCTCTTTCAATCAATCCCTGAACTGATCTGGTATCACCAGCACAATGCAGCCGGTAAGTCCGGAACTTCAGGTAGGGAGTGTCTATGAACCAAGCCCTTGAAAGGCAATGCATATTTGGTCTCTGAGACACTTAAGAGGAGCAAATCTCCCTATAGAAATGGTTTAAGAACTTGAAATACAACCTGTCTTCTAAG